CATGTCGGGATTTTATCGATGCAGCCAGCTGTACTACTCATGAAAATACCTCAATCACAGACAAATCCACATGCCCAACACAAGCGAGCTGTGCTCCAGATCAGACCAGCTGGAGGACGTATAATGTCCCCGACACCGCCTGTGGTCCCATTTAGCAACTTGACAGCAGCCGTCTAATTAAAGAAGAGTAACTCATGTAATAAATCAGGAGTGTGCTGTAGCTGATGTGCTCATGTCATAGAGTAAAACGTGAAGGTATCTTGAGTTTGTGTTAGCCACAGAGCTTATTTAAGCGGTTTAACTGAAACCCCTTTCACTTTGTGTAACCCCACCCGACCCGCTCCGAGCTGGGATCGAACCGCCGACCTTCCGCATGGGAGTCAGTTGCTCTAGCAAGGAGGCTAAAGACCATGACCTCTAGTGTCTGTCGCTGGAGCACCTTTAGAGGTCAGAGGAGTGAGGTTTGGGCCTCCGTTACACATGGGATGAGGGAACTGGAACTAATGCTAACTCGCTTCTGGGTTTTCGATGTGGTAGTTCCTCCACTCTGTAGTGTTCATCTGCGCGTCTAGCTCTGCCTTTTGGTACCCTTTGCAAAGGGTGCGGGAAAAGTGGTACGGTCCGGTTCGGTATGCCTTTTAACAGTGGAAACAGCCTTAAAAGCGTGATGAACTGTACCGTACACTACCACTCAGTGGAAACAGGCCGTAAGGGCCCACACACTTAGGGGTCTCCCAGAGATGATATTAGGGGTCCACGCCACTACCACCGCACCCCTGCTGTCAAATCATCTTAGATCATTTAATAGAACAGACCCCTGCTGTACACTGGCTTCATGTGTGATGTTGACATTAGTGTGTGTGTGTTGTGCAGAAAGACACTAGAGGCAGATCACCACTGAAACTATCGCTAATACAGCTCCACCACACCCCCCGCTGCACTACCCCAGGCATCAAATGCAGATTCACACACCTCTACTGGCAGACAATGAGTGGAGATGGAGAATGTGTGTGTGTGTGTTCTTTTATTACACTTCACTCATTCTTGCACCAAAAATATAACAAACAAGGCACTAGTGGTGTGTGTGTGTGTGTGTGTGTGTGTGTGGTGATATTGGGCAGCAGCTGCAGCATGTCTGATATTCAATACACACAGCAGATGGACACACACACACGCACACACACACACTCACGCACTGTCTGCTATTGTTGAGTGAGCCAATGGGACGAGTGTGTGTGTGTGTGAGTGTGTGTGTTGATGTAAAACTCAGTCCACTCTCATCTGCTGCTCAGGTGACACACACTCACACACACTCTCTCGCACTCTCACTGCGTGCTCCGCTCGTGTGTTTAGCTGCAGTGTGTGTGTTGGTCTGTGTGAGTTTCTGCTGCAGTGTGTGTTTGGTCTGTGTGTGTGTGTGTTTCTGCTGGTCATGATGCCCATGTCCGGAGATGACCTGGTCTGCCCGAAGTTTCAGCCCAACATCTTCGACTCCTCCCGCTGCCACGACTGCTTACGGCAGAAACACCTGCACAACACCTGCAGCGAACACACACCTGAGCAGAACACCACTGCTGCTCCTGCAGGAGGAGGAGGAGGAGGAGGAGGACACAAGGACTGCAGCAGCAACAAGGTCAGACACAAACAAACACACACACACACTCATATATACACACTCACTCAAACTCATACATGCTCACTTACACACACACACACACACACACACACACTTATACACTCATATTTACACACTCACACACACACACACACTTATACTCATTTACACTCTCAAACTTATACACACACACTTATACACTCATATTTACACACTCACACACACACACACACTTATACTCATTTACACTCTCAAACTTATACACACACACACACTCACTCACTTATACGCTCATATTTACACACTCAAACTTACACACACACTTATACACTCATATTTACACACTCAAACTTACACACACACTTATACACTCATATTTACACACTCAAACTTACACACACACTTATACACTCATATTTACACACTCAAACTTACACACACACTTATACACTCATATTTACACACTCAAACTTACACACACACACACACTTATACACTCATATTTACACACTCAAACTTACACACACACACACTTATACACTCATATTTACACACTCAAACTTACACACACACACTTATACACTCATATTTACACACTCAAACTTACACACACACACACACTTATACACTCATATTTACACATTTAAACTTACACACACACACACACACACACTTATACCCTCATTTACACTCTCAAACTTATACACACACACACACTCATACACTCATATTTAAACACTCAAACTTAAACACACACACACACACACACACACACATACCCTCATTCACACTCTCAAACTTATACACACACACACACACTTACTCACTTATACACTCATATTTACACACTCGAACTTACACACACACACACACACACACACACACACAGTTATACCCTCATTTACACTCTCAAACTTATACACACACTCACTTATATACTCATATTTACACATTCAAACTTACACACACACACACACACACATGTAATCATATTTAAACACTTAAACTTATACACACACTCAATTATACACTCTTATTTTTACATATATACACTCACTCAAACTTATATACACTTACACACACACACATACACACACACTTATTCAGTCATATTTACACAAGCTTATTAAAAGCTTACTTACACACTCTTATTTACACGCACACACACTTTTACACAATCATATATACACACATACACAATGCTTATATATATATATATATTCTCTCTTACTCACACACAAACAATACATCATACACACTTATACACACTCACTGCTCAGAGCTGCTAAACTACCGGTGTGTGTGTGTGTGTGTGTGTGTGTGTGTGTGTTCTCATCATTAATGAATGAAGGCAGATCATTTCCCTCTCTCTGTGACATCAGAGAAACACAACGCACTCACAGAGAGGCCGAGTTACATCTGACTGACTGTTACCAGAAGGGTGTTAGCCATAGTGCTCTGTTGCTAGGGTGGTTTGGTAATTGCTAAGTGGTTCTAAATGGTTGCTATGCTATTTTGAGCAATTGCTAGGTTCTACATGGGGTCGCTATGATGTCTTGGGGAGTTTCTGGAGTCTTCTAAATGGTTGCTATGATGTTTTGGATTGTTGCTAGGTTCTACTGGGTGGTTGCTATAGTGTCTTGAGTAGTTTCTGTGGTCTTCAAGATGGTTGCTATGGTGTTTTGGGTAGTTGCTAGGTTCTACTGGGTGGTTGCTATAGTGTCTTGAGTAGTTTCTGTGGTCTTCAAGATGGTTGCTATGGTGTTTTGGGTAGTTGCTAGGTTCTACTGGGTAGTTGCTATAATGTCTTGAGTAGTTTCTGTGGTCTTCAAGATGGTTGCTATGGTGTTTTGGGTAGTTGCTAGGTTCTACTGGGTGGTTGCTATAGTGTCTTGAGTAGTTTCTGTGGTCTTCAAGATGGTTGCTATGGTGTTTTGGGCAGTTGCTAGGTTTGTTGGGTGGTTTTTATGGTGTTTTGAGTATTTGCTAGGTTCTACTGGGTGGTTGCTATGATGTTTTCAGTAGTTTCTGGAGTCTTCTAAATGGTTGCTATGGTGTTTTGAGTAGTTGCTAGGTTCTACTGGGGGTTGCTATAGTGTCTTGAGTAGTTTTTGTGGTCTTCTAAACGGTTGCTATGGTGTTTTAGGTAGTTGCTAGGTTCTACTGGGTGGTTGCTATGGTCTCATGAGTAGTTTCTGTTGTCTTCTAAATTTGCTATGGTGTTTTAGGTAGTTGCTAGGTTCTAATGGGTGGTTGCTATGGTCTCGTGAGTAGTTTCTGTGGTCTTCAAGATGGTTGCTATGGTGTTTTGGGCAGTTGCTAGGTTTGTTGGGTGGTTTTTATGGTGTTTTGAGTATTTGCTAGGTTCTACTGGGTGGTTGCTATGATGTTTTCAGTAGTTTCTGGAGTCTTCTAAATGGTTGCTATGGTGTTTTGAGTAGTTGCTAGGTTCTACTGGGGGTTGCTATAGTGTCTTGAGTAGTTTTTTGTGGTCTTCTAAACGGTTGCTATGGTGTTTTAGGTAGTTGCTTGGTTCTAATTGGTGGTTGCTATGGTCTTGTGAGTAGTTTCTGTTGTCTTCTAAATTTGCTATGGTGTTTTAGGTAGTTGCTAGGTTCTAATGGGTGGTTGCTATGGTCTCGTGAGTAGTCTTCTAAATGGTTGCAGTGGTGTCTTTGGTAGTTCCTTGGTTCTACAGGGTGGTTGCTATGGTGTGTTAAGTAGTTGCTAGGTTCTACTGGGGATTGCTATGGTATCTTGAGTAGTTCCTGGGGTCTTCTAAATGGTTGCTAGAAGTTTTTGGGTTGTTGCTAGGTTCTACTGGGTGGTTGATATGGTGTCTTGAGCAGTTCTGGGTCATCTAAATGCTTTCAATAGTGTTTTTTGGTAGTTGCTAGGTTCTACAGGGTAGTTGCTATGGTGTGTTAAGTAGTTGCTAGGTTTTACTGGGGATTGCTATGGTGTCTTGAGTAGTTCCTGGGGTCTTCTAAATGGTTGCTATGGTGTTTTGGGTAGTTGCTAGGTTCTACTGGGCATTGCTATCGTGTCTTGAGTAGTTCCTGGGGTCTTCTAAATGGTTGCTAGAAGTTTTTGGGTTGTTGCTGGGTTCTACTGGGTAGTTTTTATGTTGTATTGAGTAATTGCTAGTTTTGCTGGGTTTTGCTGTCTTGAGTAGTTTCTGTGGTCTTCTAAATGGCTTTCTGTGTGTCTGACAAGCAAAAAGCCCGTCAGCTTTTCCCTCAAGACGTGTCCAGATTTGATGACAGTAAATGTTTATGATGAACATTATTAATCCCAGAGGCGTCTGTCCGTTTGAATTTGATGAATGCTGACAGCTGCTAATCTAAAATAATGATGAGCAGAAAAGCAGAAAGCAGACTGAGTTACAGCCGTGAAACCCTACACCGGTACAGTGTGTGTGTGTGTGTGTGTGTGTGTGTGTCAGCCTGACACTGCTCCAGAACTGATGTTATACCTGCCTTATATCCAATGAATGAACAATCACTAAGACGATATATGTTCATATTTATAAACATCCTCCTGTATGTGGAGACCTGTCTTAGTCAATAACTCAGTAAAGTGCAGCATCATCCTGCTCTGCTGCTGCTGAGACTGCTTCAGCTGCAGTGTTCTGCTCTCTGATTGGCCCTGCTCCATCCAACCAATCAGGAGGACTCAGATGTGCTGTCAGTGGTGAGCAGCTACTGTGATGTCAGCAAAGGGGGGCGGGGCTTGGAGGACAGCTCGTTCTGCATCTTAAGTCCCGACTGTGACCTTTACCTGTGTGACGGAGACGACGACCAAAGCTCGGACAGGTGAGTCTAAGACACCTGTTGTTCCGCTGTAGAAACTGAATGCTAAGTGGTTTTACATGAGTGTGTGTGTGTGTGTGTGTTTGTTGCGTATCTTGTCTTGTTAGCCTTTAATAAGACAACTTTTGGAAGTCATCGTTCCCTCAGTAGAGTGTAAGTGTGTTGAGTTCTGCAATAGTACACCTGTGCTTCCCTTATTGATCGCAGTCAGGGTGAGGATTCTGTTTACAGCAGCTCCGAGTCCTCCATCCTCCTTCATCCTCCCTCATCCGGCCGCAGAATGACCCGCCTGGACCGCACAAGCCCCCGTGGCTGGACGGAGGGCACTCAGAGTCGCCGGGATGGTTTTGGGCAGTTCGGCATTTCTCACGGTAAGGAAAACACCTGTATCGGGTTACACCTCTGTGGAGTTGGACAGTCGGAGTGGCAGTTTGAGGTGTCGGGTGGTGTTGGGTTGCACAGGCTTTTCCTGAGGGATGCACAAGGCTATATTATTATATTATGAGGCAAACTATTATTTTTTTTATCATCAGGAGCTTTGCACTACAGTGCTAATGAAACCAACTACAAACTAAAATAAAAGCAATTGCAAAACTATAAGGACCTTGCTGTTAGGTCACAGTGTATCAGCTCACAAATTAAGAAGGATCCCCATCTTGTCTGTGTGTCCGCAGGTGGCGTGAAGGACCGCGGGGAGCGGGAGAGTGGATATTTCTCTCTGGGACGAGCAGCGGGTGGCAGAGCTCTGCGAGACCAGAGTCCTGCTGGCCCGTATCGGCATTCAGAGAGAGGCCATCCCCTGCCCAGCAACAAGAGCCCGGAGCCCAAAGCCGCCATTCCCTTTCGAAACCCAGACCTTGGTGTCCCCTCTGAAAGGAGAACCTCAGAGTTTCAGAATATAGAGCAGTATGCAGAAAGTCTTGCTCAGTTTCCTCCAGAGCCGCTGGATCTCACTGCAGAGATTGAGGCCCTCGCTGGACCCCGGGCCCTGAGCCCCACACCTTTTAAACAGGCTGAATCCTACAGTTCCTCCAGTCGAAGAGGTGGACAAAGTCGAAACACGTCTCCTTTACGACAGCCGGGGTCACTCAACACTTCCCACAGAGGCTCCAGTCTCCTGCAGTCCTCATCTCCCTCTCAAAGCCTTTCGCCATTCAGACGGGCTGAGTCCAGTTCCTCCATCAACACCGTGGGCTTACGCTCGAGTGGAGCGTCATATAGACAAGACCGGGCATCTGTCAGTCCAACACGGAGCAGTTACACTGCACAGAAAAATCTCAGATCATTGGCGAGTACGGTAGGCACGGTCAGCAAGTCTCTGTCCTACATGGATCTGAAAGGCTCTCAACAAAAACACGGAACCAGCAGCCGCAGCGGCTCGCCTCCATCTAGACGGAGTTACGATTCTCCTACAGCTCGAAAACCAGACATAAAGAACCTTTCATATGACCGACTGAACTCCTCCATCTCCACCAGCCGATATGATTCAAGAAGCCAGTCCCCTTCCAGACAGAGTTATGAGGGTCGGAAAGCTGAGATAAAGAGCCCTTCACATGAGCGGAGCCATGACAGACAGAGCTCCTCCTTTTCCACGAAGGGTCGATACAGTTCCAGGAGCCAGTCCCCATCGGGGAGACCAGAGGATGGCCAGAGTCCAGAGGGGCGACGCAGCGCATCTCCAGTCAGGAAGGGCTATGGGACACCAAGCCAATCAGAACCAAGATCTGTCTCAAATAGGTGGAGAGATGAGAGAACAAGCCCTGCCCCCACTAGGAAAAACTATGAGGGACAAACCACAATGAAGAAAACAGAAGCAAATAGCCGACACTCTTCTCCAAATAGAGGCTCATCATTGTTTCGTAAGCCTGAAACATCATCAAACCATGGCCCCAAGAGCCGCAGTACATCCCCATTAGCCCCGAGTCCATCTGTCCTGCGTAACTCAGAGAGTGGACGGAGCCAGTCAGTGTCCACCCTAAGGAGAGACCTGGTAGATCACATCCCCATGAGGAGCGACAGACCCAGCTCCAATTTCAGGAACTCTGCCGGTACCCAGCCTCGCCATGATCCAATCCCATCAACTGACCGCTGGAAAGGCTCCGCCCACTCACTCCACAGCCAGTCAGCTTCTCGTCACCCCTCCCCCACTCGCCACAGTGGGGAGAAGAAGCAGATCTCCTTCACTCAGTCGGTCCCTGTGGGCTGGGGGGTGCCTCAGGACAGCGGCCGCAGGAGCAGCTCCAGACCAGGCCATCAGGAGCACACTTCCAGGACTTCACCCTTGAAGACACACACCTCCACCCCCAGTGGCCGGAGACACCGCAGCCCCTCTCCTCCAGTGCAGACACACACCTCCATCCCCAACAGCCGGAGACACCGCAGCCCCTCTCCCCCAGTGCAGACACACAACTCCACCCCTAGCAGGCAGAGACACCGCAGCCCCTCACCTCCAGTGCAGACACACAACTCCACCCCTAGCAGCCGGAGACACCGCAGCCCCTCACCTCCAGCGCAGACACACACATCTTCTCAGAGCTCCATGGACTCCGAGTCCAGCCATCTGTCTGCAGGGTCGTCGGGTCTCAACCGGGAGGAGTACGCCATGATGGCTGACCTTCCCAAAGTTAAAACCGTCTTCCAGAGGGAGAGTCCGAGCCACCCGATGAGGTCCGAGAAACGAGAACAGTCCCGCTACAAACCCGCCAGGTGGAGAAAGCTTCATCACTGTACTAATCACTGTGTAATGCTGACATCAGACCAAACTTTATTATTTATTCTCCTCATTTATTTACAAATGAAATCATGTGTCTACAGTCACTCCCACAGCAAAGCTCCACACTCAGAATGGGAGGATCTGGAGGAGGATAGAGAGAGTGGCACACTATCACGGGCTCACTCGTCCAGCTCTCTACACACACAGGTAACCACACACTGGTCAGTGTGTTTGGCCTGCTTCTCCTCCACTGATTGGACGGCTGAGTGACAGTGACCAGTGCCTTTTTACCCAAAATCAAACAATAAAGAGCTCTACAAAACGAAAACAGACCAAACTGACTTGTGAATATTAATATTGATTTATTTTACTGTTATTAATTCTTCAGTGTTTCCGCAGGGATTGAGCCGCCCGGCTGCAGAGCACACACACTCCAGCAGGAGCTCAGGACAGAAGCAGGTACAGATACACCACCTCCTGTCTCCAGCCGAACACTGAATGCTGCAGTGTGAACGCATAACTGTGTGTGTGTGTGTGTGTGTGTGTGTGTGTGTGTGTGTGTGTGTGTGTGTGTGTGTGTGTTTGTTTGTTCTGCAGAAAACACACAGGCCGTCTGTGTATTTCTCCTGCAGTGTGGACCAGACCGATGAAGAACCAGTAGAACAGGCATGTCTCTCACACACACTCTCTCTCACACACACACACACACACACACACACACACAGCTAGGTAGATTACTCATGAAATCTGTAACTGATTACAAATGACACAAGAATATTTGTATGTGGTAATGTAATCTCTAGGGAGGCAAGGTGGCTCAGTGGTCAGCACTGTTGGGTCACTGGTTTGAGTCCCGGCTGGGTCAGTTGGTGTTTCTGTGTGGAGTTTGCATGTTCTCCCCATGTTGGCATGGGTTTCCTCCAGGAACTCCGGTTTCCCCCACAGTCCAAACACATGCGCTATAGGGGAACTGATCAACTAAACTGGCCGTAGTGTATGAGTGTTTGTGAATGAGTGTGTATGGGGGTTTCCCAGTACTGGGTTGCAGCTGGACTGGCATCCGCTGCAAAAAACACATGGTGGAATAGTTGGCAGTTCATTCCGCTGTGGCGACCCCTGATTAATAAAGGACTAAGCCGGAGGAGAATGAATGAATGAATGAATGACTATGATCTCCCAGATGACACATTAATAGCTATGTAATCTAACTGCTTTTGGATTACATTTAGATTACTTTAGTGCTAACTGTTATTTGACATCACATATACTGAAGCAGGATAATCTTGAGCTATTTTGATAAATAAAAATAACTCGTGTTTAGCAGATACAATGGCAGCCTGTGTTCAAAGTGCAGTGATGGACGGTTAGTATTTCACTATACTCGCATTAAGATACTTCATTTTTATTATTTTTGAGGAAAACACTGAATAAAACCACAGCTGATCATTATAAATAGTTTACGTTATATTAAGTACGTGGAAAACAGTAGCATCACAAAAACAACCTCATGTGTCTTAAAATATATAAATAAATATGTAATAAAATAAGTATAAATAAATGTCATTGGATTTTGGATATTTAAGGATCTTTATATTCTAAGACTGAAAAATTGATGGATTGTCTTTTCTTCATATAGTTGTTCTTGTAAATGGAGCTTTAGACAGATATGAAGTGCAAATCATTCGCATTTAATGCATTTGTTAAACAATATTCACGTCATTAATGATGATTTTGTGTTGGTAATGCTAATAAATTATACATTTGTGATGAGCTACCCCTTTTTTAAAGCCACTGTTTGTTTTGAGGTTTGATTATAATGATAATTGTTGTTTATTTGTTCAATATTTATCTTTATATTATTATGTAAGTTGGAGTTGCGAATAATTTAATATTTCGCCTTGATTATAGCGCAGCTTCACAGGTAGACCGTGAGCTGTACGTTTGCGCATTTTGATTGGACGCTGAACTGCGCTGGGCGGCTCTAATTGGTTACTGTCCGGCGCAGAGCTGTTCTGAATGGTTGCTGTGCTGCGCTGAGCGCTTGTGATTGGTCGCTCGCTTCCGCTAAACTCTACTCAGGATCCGCCCCGGCAACGCCAACAGCAGCGCGAGTTCCGTCAAACTTATGCTGTGATCTGTCGATGAAATAATCCCGTTATTAAACATGCTGATTCCGAGTTTCCCGAAAACCTCACCGCGCTGACGCTCTTCTGACGCGGAGCTTCTAACCTGTGCTTGTGTTTGTGTGTCTGCGGCTGGATTTGAACATCATGACGGTCAGTTTCACTTTGATTCACTTTAATAAGCGAGGCTCTCAGTGTAAACACGACGCGGGCTCGCTCCTGTGTGCTGTGGACGCGCATTCACACTCCTGCTTTTGTGTGTTTGTGTGTCGTGTGGTGTGTTTCCTCTTTGTGTGGTACGTGAGCAACTTATGTGTGTGTGTTTGTTCATATTTGTGTTTGTGCGCGCGCGACACACCCGCACTGCGCACGCGCATTACTGAGGCATTTACTTGTTTATGTAAAATAAACACAAGAATCGTGTGTGTGTGTGTGTGTGTGTGTGTGTGTGTGTGTGTGTGTGTGTGTGTGTGTGTGTGTGTGTGTGTGTGTGTGTGTGTGTGTGTGAGTGTGACCTGCTTTGATGAGAGTCTCTGAGAATGACACTGAAAACACTGACTGCTCTTCATTCATACTGCACACAACCATACACAAACACGTTTCACGAGTGCACAGTAAGCTTCAGTCTGAATGTACACTATAGATCTGGGCTGGATTACTTGTAAAAAGTGATTAGTTACTAGTTACAAATTACATTACACAATTTGTAGCCAGTAACTTAATCTGACTACTTTTGGATTACATTTAGATTACTTTTGTGCTGACCTCATCTGATGGCACATATTGAAGCAGGATAATCTTGATTGAGCTGAAGTTAGTTTTATATTTGCACATTCAGACTTTCTCCCTAATAATATAATTTCAGGAAAGTACTGTTTGCTAATTCTAAATAGTGAAATCATAAGTGCTCATTGTTTTTCGAAGTCAGACTTGCATGCAATTTCAGACCCAATATTCAAAGTACTATGGTAAACAATGTAGGGACTGTGTCATGACTAGGGCCAGACAGAATCTGCAGACATTCTTTGCTATTTCTGCGCAGAATTGTGTTAAAGATTATTACTATCAGAATGATTTTGGGAGTATCATAACTAAAACCTTAATATGTGAAATAAAAAGTAATACCTTTTTGACTTTTATTTAATGTTTACAATGCAAATCCAATTAGATCCTCTTTAGTTGGTAAACAAAGCAAGTCTCTCATATAATATCTCTACTAAAAGACAGAAATTATGACTTTACAAACTATATTGTTAATAAATCCTCTAAATATGTTCATATTAGTCAAGGATGTTACTGAAATAATTTTTAAAAACTAAATAAATATAAGTGTACACACATTTACACAAGTAAATAAACAGAATCAATGATGGGCTAAAATCTGCATAATTCTGTGTGGGCCTAGCCATGAGTTGTCACTGAATGAGTGCGCAAATATAAAATATAAAACCAGCCTCACCTCAATATAATCTTGTACTATTTCGAAAGATAAAAGATAGCCTACCTGTCTTTATTCATTCTTTATCAGCAGCAAGAGCTTATTTTAAATTATAATGTTGAACTTGTGATGTTTCACAATACCCAAACTAATATATCTCACTGTTTCTGATGATTTAAAAACATTTCCTTCTTATTAAGTACATTTAAAAAGCAGCTAAATAAAAAAAAGATGAAATAGAAAAACCTGAAATTCACAACAATATCACTGTGATGTCAAATATTTCATCTAAACATACACTAGAAGTGCAGATGATTATATTAGTCTCATAATCTCTCTATGCAGGAAAAATATGAAGAATTAAATTGAGTGAATGTTTGTATAATAAAGAGGAAAATGTAGGAGAATCAATGAACTGTTGACAAATTACTGCCAAAGTGTACAAATATAGTCCTTTACCAAGTAACTGATTGCAAGTAATTTACTCTATTTGCAAGTACTTGCTTTTGTAAACATGATTGCATTATTTACAGAGCGACAGTAATTTATAATCCAGATTACCTATAATTGATTCTGATCAACGCTTTGTGTTGCACAGATGATCTGATCTGGCATTAATGAGTAATTTAATATCTGTATAGTGAATGTGGTGGTGCAGAACAGCGTGTGAAGACGTCTGATTTTCATTAATATTGGCATTACTGACAGTACTAGGGCTGAAGACAGACATTATTTCCTGTGCAGTGTTTTCCTCCAATAACTCAGCTGAAGTAGAGGTGCTCGTGTAAGTAGATGTGTTCTCTGGGTCCCCATGGTCATGGAGTTTTCTGCAATATCTTGTGTTTTTAAAAGGTTTATTTCACACATTGGAAATCAGGGAATTTTGTATATTGTTTCGTCAGGGAGTATCAGATTCTATTTCAGACAGTAGTAATGTTTCCAGCTGAAGATGCTAATTTAATATACAGTTGAAGTCAGAATTATTAGCCCCCTTTGAATTTTTTTCTTATATTTTAAATATTTCCAAAATGATCTGTAACAAAGCAAGGAAATTTTCACAGTATGTCTGATAATATTTTTGCTTCTGGAAAAAAGTGATCTTTGTTTTGTTTCAGCTAGAATAAAGGCAGTTTTTTATTTTTTAAACACCATTTTAGGGACAAAATTATTAGCCCCTTTAAGATATATATTTTTCTCAATAATCTACACAACAAACCATCTTTATACAATGACTTGCCTAATTACCCTAACTTTACCCTAATTACCCTAGTGAAGCCTTTACATGTCACTTTAAGCTGTATAGAAGTGTCTTGAAGAATATCTAGTCTAATATTATTTACTGTCATCATGACAAAGAGAAAATAAATCAGTTATTAGAGACGAGTTATTAACACTATTATGATTAGAAATGTGTTAAATAAATTTTCTCTCCGTTAAACAGAAATTGGGGAAAAAATAAACAAGCGGTCTAATAATTCAGGGGGGCTAATAATTCTGACTTCACCTGTACATGTGCAAAACTGGAATATTGCATAAAAGATTAATAATGAAACGCTTCCATCCAATTAGACAAAGAGAACAAAATCATCACTTCCTAATAAACTGGCAGCAAATATCAGAAATAAAACAGGGTTTGCTGTTTTTTAGAAACTATATAATCAATTACTTGCACCTCAAAAGATGAAGCTGACATGCAGTGGATATGTGGTGGCTTATGGAGGCATGAGACGCTATGTGGTGTTTTCAAAATGTATGTGCATCTTGACATTGCAATAATCCAAAATGAGCACAAAAATAGGTGGATGGAAACATTAAAGTTTTATATATTTATTTTGTAAACAATATTTTGTATTTAGTTGTGAAATATCAGTGATTTTTGTTTGTTTGTCATTTAAAATGTTCCTTCTCATTTATTCAAATGTCCTTTTCTTCGCTGTGTTTCTGCCATGCTGTTTCGCGTGTGTGCCTGTAGTTATGGTTAGGCTGTTTTTCACTCATATTTTATTAGTTGTCCGCCTTGTCAAACTCAGTCCCCAGATTTGGCTCAAAGGAACATTCTAATATTTGCAGTATAATGACGGGTTTTGCGGTGACTTTTTTAAAAATTCATGGCAATATTTACATCAGTTGTTAGGACTGAGCAGTATATCGCTTCAGCATTGATATCGCAATGTAATCATTCTCAAAAGTCACATCACAGGTTATATATGAGCAATTCCGTGCAAATGTTAACCTTGCCATAAAAAAATTACGTTTTTACCAAAATACGGAAACCGTTTCTGGGTTTTTTTGTGTAAGCAAATATTTTACCGTACTTTAAAAATACTCAATAATGCATCTGTCAATGTTTTTTAAACTATTCTATTTGATTTACCAAAGTCACACAAATGGTAATTTCACATCCGTCACATCCATAACAGAGAGATGTCACATCCATAACAACACTTTTTCCTCAGAAGTGTAAAAATATTAAATAAAATAAAACCAATCATTTTTGTTTTATAGAGAGCCAACTCTTATCATTTTGATTAGCGTTATTTATTTTGGGTTGTGCAGTTTAATTCACAGAATTTCTACAAAGTATGTTGTATACTGTAAACTCGCAGACTTTTTTTGTCACATCCATAACGCATGCTTATTTTCCTCATTTAAAGTACAAAACATGTTTACAGATTGATATTTTTATGCTCCCATAACTCTGTGGCTAGTTGCTCTGGAAAATATAATACAATTTTTCAATATAATGTTAACATATAATTTCTCTGTCAATTTATGTGTTGAGTTTTTACTGCAAATGTCACATCCATAACGCTGGAATTGCTCATATGCATTGTTGATGTTGAAAGTATTCGGATATAAAAAATTGTACCTTTAGTGACCTTAACTACGATTACTTTAATTGAATTATGTTCATCATTCAGTTACTGTACTCGAAGTCTCGGGAAGTGATGACACTATTTTTAATTGTATATTTTTCTTGATTGTGTTTACAGACTGTTATGCATGAAAATACTTACAACACATGCAAATACAGAAACGCACAGTAAATAGCAGAGCCCACAGCTAAAATGTGTTGGGGGACCCCACAAAGTTTAAAGATTGTTTATTAGATTCTGTGGAGATGCACTGCCACTGTAGGATCATCCCTATCAAGCTAACATTATGCATTATCTCCAAATAGTGGTATTAAGTCATCTGCTGAAATCGTGTTCATATGGCAATAATAAAAAATATGACAATGTTAGATTTTTCCAATATCATGCAGCCTACTTTGTTGTGTTATTTTGCTGTAAAAATAC